ACTGTCACCATTGCCAGTGGAGTTCCTGCATTCTGGGGCTTGCATCACTGGTTTCAGCTGAACCTGTAGCTACGGGCCCCTGGTATAGTGTCCTTTTCAGTGGGAGCAGAATCATTTTGTCACACTTTGAATTCTGTAGTCACACCAAATGTACAGTCACTCCCTGTACAGATTCCTTTTTAGCCAAGAATATTTGTGTTGCCTTGTATTGTCATGGGGGGCTGGGGAGAGGATGAGGAATTCCAGCACCTGTAGTACTCCCGTAGTGGTGTTGCCTGCAGGCCCACTTTTCCACGGTTCTGAATTCCTGCTGTCTTCTGGAAGTAAAGCTTTTGCATTTGCATTGATTTAATGTTTGCTGTTGGCTTCATGCCTACAGAAACTCACCTGTAATAATATAAGGGGGGGGGTGGGGGTGTGTAGGTAATTGTTTTGGTGTCCTGTGCTCCAAGGTCATAGATAGCCTTTGGCTTGGGGTTTAAGTAGGTGAATAATATAAACATAAATCTGTTTACAGCTTAGGCTCAGTTTTAGTGGTTCCTGTTTCTGGTTCATTTACTGTTTGGGTTTGTCTCAAACCCCTTCATTTTCTGTATTCAGATGCAAGTAGCTGGTTTAAAGACCCAGCAGTTATCACTGCTGTCCTACATTTAGGACCAGGGTTTGCTAGCAATCGCAGTGGTTTTGCAGGCAAAGTGTCTGTTGCTGCTTCCATGAGCACAGCAGAGCCAGCAGTACCTTGGATTATTTGAGGAACTGATACAAGGTCAGCCTTAGAGCCTAGTTTGGCACTCCTGGTATCCATAAATCTCTTCTGAAAGGCTATGGGAGATTTTCTTGTATTAAAAGCTGTAGTATAGACCAAGCCTATGGAAGCATGAGAGTGATTCTTGTGTTTGAAAACGCCTGCAGAAAGTCACCCACCTAAACTTGGTTTCACCAGCTCTGTTGGTGCTGCAGGTATAGCTGTAGTCATAGCCAACACCTTCGTTTTGAAACCATCTTCACAGGGGTTCTGAGTCCCTGTGCTTCAGAAGGGGGAAATCGACACTGAACAAGTCCCGTGTCTCAGTCAAGGAATACCACACTTGTCCACAAGAAGCAATAACTGACGCTACGGAGGGATGCGCTTCTTTGCCTGTAAATATCTTGAGGTTGCCAATTCTGTGCTGTTTCAGAGTGTTTCCTGTCATCTGCCCTATATCTTCCCTAAGCATGTAAGCGTGTGAAATAATTCCCATACTCAGGTCTGCCATTAACATGCTGCTTGCCAGGAGGGGAAGAGTAGGCTCAACACTGTCTTGAAACGTGAGATGTTTCTGAACCTTTGTACCATACCCGTATATCTTGAGTAGCAACTTGTGTTTTGGAGTTCGTAGTGGAGGTAGCTATGAGTTGGATTGTATATAACCATATCCCATACAGCACCAAGAGAGCCATGCCACTGTTCCCACAGGGCACACACTGTCCTTTCTCTCATAACAAATCAGTATATCTCTACCAACACTTCCTTTTTAAAGGAGGGAGCTAATTTTCTTCCCGTGTGTTATGTTCATACGGGAGACATAAAAGCAAAAATGCAAAGCACACTGCAGTTTGTGGGAAGAATTAAGCCTAAACCAGATGGTCTTAATTGTAATCAGTTTTACTTTCATAGCCAAGGGTAAGGGTACCGCAGTGTCTTGAAATGGGAAGCATGTAGGAGATGCACAAAGGTGTGGGTGGATACCAGTGACCTCTTCTTTTCCTTTTTATGATGTAAAAAGAGGCATTTATGACCTAATCCTGAGTTACACGTTTATCCTAGTTCTTTATGTTAGGGGCATTGGCTTTTTAATTAAGCCTTTGCTAGCACTGGTAAAACTGACACCCTCCCAAAGAGAAAACCTCAGCAAATGTGGGCAAGGTGATTTCTATTCAGAAATGTGGAGCTTTGGTGTTTCTGGATGGAAAATGTCTGGCACATAAAATGTGCTTACGGATGCTTCTGGTGTGCTGCCTTTTCCGTGTGGAGGCTTCAGAAACTCCATCCATTTCTTATGCATCCCACCGAAAGCAGGAAGCTCATCACTTGAATGTTGCTATCTCTGCATACACAGCAACAAAGCAGACGTTATTTCTGCTGTAGGCCATGATGTCTCTGAGTTTCTGTGAATTTTAGCTGCTTTCCCATATTGACAGAGAACATTTGTGTGCAGATTTGCTGTTGCTGTTTTGTACCTGCTGATGTTGCTGTACAGTACCTGCTGTACAGCCAAGAGACCACCGTATACCTGGGAGTGCAGCACTGCTACTATGGAACCTTCCACCTCACCTATGCCAGTGGAGGATGAGCTCACTCTTTGATGAGTGCTGTATTTTATGGTTCACCTTCCACCCTTCCAAGCTTAGAAGTCACTTTACTGTCTGTTTCTCCTCTTCCTAGCTGAAGTCATGGTACATTTTAGGCCATATTCCCTCAATCTTTGGCCAGGCTTTGCATCGGCATCAGCAAAAGTAATGTAAGAGGCGGTAGCAGGAAGAAGAGGGCTTGTTATGGGTTTGCTGCAACCCAGCCTAACGTGTGTTCCTGCAGCAGTGTTGTCAGCTCGTACCCCTTAACCTCTTGTCATTCAAAATGCTCTGCCTGAGAAGTTCACAACAGAACCGTGTCCAGGGGTTGTTTCCTGAATGTAGGACTTGGATTTCCCCATCAACCTGCTCCTGATACCAGGTTGAAGACGTTTTAGCCTGTGGTTAAAGAAAATCCCCAGTCCTCCCGCTGCAGTTGTCCCAGGTTGCATTTGGTTATCTTATGGCACCGTTCCCTGGCTTCCCAAGCTGCTGCATCATTCCTCAGTTAAGTCCATCAGAGCCGGCGATGGGATAAACTGCAAAACGATCTCATTATTGCTTAGGTAAACCACGGCAGGAATGTCCTTGCACCTGAAACAGGCTGGACTCGGTTGTGTCTTTGATGTAAGCTGCCACTGTACAAGCAGTGGAAGGCAGCAAGCCCTCTAGCTGGTCTTTGTGGCACCTTTTAATCTACGTCGGTCTGTTTGAGCAACTTCTGCCCTTGGGTGTGCTTTGGCAAAGGTTTTGCAATGCTAAGTAGGATTTGCTTGATTCTGGCAGAGTTTCAAGCGTAAGGAACCCGACGTCGCAGGAGCATCGTCTGTTGCTGGATCCGGTTCCTCGTTTTCCCTCACATCTGCCCCTTTCCTTGCTCATTTGTTGTATTTAACAGTAGACACTCTTCAACGTGACGGGTCTCAAGCTCTCGAGATGGGAAATGCTCATGGAAGAGGCATCAAAGCATGGTTCTGTGCTCTTCCTGTGTTTATTGAGATGAAGCTGAAGTATTCATTACTGTACAGTCAGGAACCCTCTCCTGGCTGACATTGCCAAAGCAATTTACCTTCAAGGAAGACAGGAGGTGGCTCAGCTGTAGAGGGGATGTTTTAAGGAACTTACTTGTACAAGCTGCAGCATCACACCGCATGGGTGGTGATGCAGCATTATCCTTATCACTTGATTGTGAATCCCATCCTGGCTCTTCCTACCCTTCGGCAGGTACCTGCTGGTAGGCAGCAGGGTGTATATTCCCCTTTATGCCTCTTCCCACAGAGCTCACCCTGCCCACAACGAGTTAGGGGGAACTCCATGCTAGCGCCTGGAATGCCCCCTGGACGTGCTGCGGTGCTGGACAAGACGTCTTCCTTCATTCCCAGAAATCAGAATGGAATCTGCAGTGTCCAATGTAAAACCTGTCCAGTTTGGGGTTCTTCTGTTGTTCTGGTTTTGGTTTCTGCATTGAGCAGTATGGTTGCAAGCTGACCTCAGTTGTTCCAAGGTTCTCTTTCCAGTGGTTTGCCAGGACGTAATCACAAATGAGAGTATTTTTGTATCGATCCCTAGGTTGTGTGTTTAACATTCCATCCCTGTCAGACATGTACAAATGTATGTAATAAATCTTTTGAAGCACAGCTTCCTTCACACTTCCAGCTGGTTTATGTTGCGAGGGAGAGAGGCACCCCTGTGAGCGCGGCTCTGCTTCACGTCTGTGCTGCAGACCGCGCCGAAGCAGAGGAGGGGAAAGCAATGCCTGGTGTGTACATGGAGAAGCAAGTTGCTGTGTGCCTGTCTGCAGCCCCTCTGCTCAGAGCCCCCTTCCCTCTCCATGTATCCGGCAAACCCGGGTCTGTGGATCCCTGTATTGGCTGGGCTGGGCAGAGCAGAGCTGATGGAGCCGCTGTTGTGCCCGGGTGGTTGGAGAAAAGGAGTTTCTGGTTGGTGTCCTCTGGGGATCTTCAGCAGAGGCCATGGCCTTCGAGGTGAGCATCAGTTAAAGCTGCCAGGCCTGGGGGTGGGAGACTCATGGGTGGTTTAGAAAGGGAAGGGAAGGGGATGTCAAACAGCCCTTTCTCATCACCAAGAGCCTGGCACCACGCTAGCTCCATACACTCCTCTGTTTCCTCCACCCCAGCTTCCTCCCAAAACACTTCAGTTTCATCTTTAAAGCTGACTCCCAGCCGGTGTAACCACGGATTTCCTACCAGCGCTCTCTTGTCTGTCCCTGAAGAGTTGGGAGGAGGCTCCTGCAGGGAGGAATCTCTGCCCACAGCTGCCGAGGGGCTAAAAGCGAGGTAGGAATGGGAGCACAGCCACCGTGTGCTACCGAGGACATGCAGGCGCTGGATGGTGCATGGGGTAAGTCTGCTTGCGGGGAGAAAAGGGGTGCTTTTACTTCCCCTGCACTGGCTGGGAGTGGAGCTGTGGGTGCTCTGAGCAGAACCAAAGTGCCTGTTCCCCAGGCTCACGTGGAGTGCCTGAAAACGAAAGGGGTTCATTCTCCAGGCAGGAAATGTTGTTCCTCATGTCGGTGTGTTGCGTGTCAACCCAGCCACCTGCTTCTCCCAGCCAGGCTGGGAATAGCTGCTGCTGGAGTGGGATGCAAGGATTTATGGCACAGGTTATTCTGAGGCTGGGAGTCCGTCCTTGCTCCGCTTCTGGGAGTGGCTGAGGGTAGCTGAGCCTGTTGCTGGGGCTCACTGACAGTCACGACCCTCACAGCTTCCTCTGCAGGAGATGCTAATTTTAATGCATGAATTATTCAAGCCTGCACCGGGAGACAGTTGGATGTAATTACTAAGGAACGTGTTCGTATCTCCTGCTGCTGTAACTTCCACCCCCCTCCCTGGTCGCCTTCTGGGAAGCCTGAATTCTTTCACTGCCAGTAATTCCCGTGTTTTTCTCCTCAGTCTGGAGCCGTATCACGGAAGCAGTTGGTAATTACTCAGAGCCACGTTTGGCTTTGCAGCGTGGAAATCTGCTGGAAATCGGCTCGGTTCGGTAGGTACAGGATTTCATCTCTGCAATTTATAGTGGCATCTCTTGGTGCCCTGTCCTGCCCTCCTGCCTCTGCCCTGAGATGCTTGCCTTGTCCTGGGAGGTGAGCGAAGCAGCAGTGCCTTCCCCAGGCTGTTCCTGGGGGCTGTCAGTGTGGGATGGTGATGGTGCTCCTGAGCGTGCCTCTGGCCCTGCTACCGCAGGCTGCTGCTTGGTACAGCTGCTGGTCCAGGCTGGCTTCTGGATGCTGCATTGCTGTTAGCAGGAAGGGAGCAAAACACAGAGCCTGCAGCAGAGAGCAGGGAGGGAGGGGAGAGTCCCCTGCAGCAGCTGGAGCTAAAAGGGCTTTTGAATGCCTGTGCTGGAAGGTCTCTTTCTTCTTGAGGCTACGAGACCCAAGTGCTGGGGGTGCAGCCTGGAGCCTGCTGATCTCTGTGAGCATCCCTGGGGTCTGCAGGTTGAGCAGGTTCCCAGCTCCATCCCACCCTGCAGGGAGAGGGTTCCAAAGCCACACAAGGGCCCAGAGGACACCACTTGTGAGGTGCTGCACAGCCACCTCCCAGCCAGGCTGCCCCTGGACAAGGAGCCTCAGCAACAGCCAAAGGAGACAGCGCTCTCCAGCCTTCACTTAATGCAGCATCTGTTTCGCAAGGGGATGAGATCAGGGATGTGCAGGGGCAGGGAGGAGGGTTCCACATCAATAATTGCTCAGAGCCCACCCTTAGCTGACGCAGGATGAGTCACTGCTCGTAAAGGCGGGAGGGAGCACAGAGGAGGCAGGTACTAAGAGCACAGGGACGGGTCCTCAGCTGAGCTCGGTGGAAGCTGCAGGTGCTCGGTGCCTCTCCCCATCTGCTCCATTACCTCTTGAGCCATGCTTTTGCCCTGCCCTGCTCTTCGTTTTCACCCTGGTTACAGACTGCTTTGAACACCTTTGAATTTCAACAAAGGGATCCCTCCTCTCCCATCCTAGTTGCTGCTTTAAGATGGAAAACACCAAACCTCTGCCTGAGCTCAGTCAGGCTTTGTCACCAAGAACAACAACCATGGGACCGTGTCCCCCCATGCAGCAGTGGGGTCTCCTCACCTGCTGCCTGCCTCAGCAGACCTGGGTGGCTCTTAAAGACGGCGGTTTTCCTCTTCACAAGTCACCCAGGCAGGATTATCCTCACCTAAACTCAGGATTAGGGAGCCTGGTAGGTAACAGGAGAGCGAACACTCAACAGCTTCATATGCTCTGGGCTTCGAGGTCTGAGTCTCCTGCCCTGCAAGGCTGGGCTGTCCCCAGGGCCACTGCACTGAGTGGCACCAGTAACTGCACAGAGTTTTCACCATCCAAATGGAATTGATGGACCCCCTGCAGGCAGCACGGCAGCAGCGAGTCCGTAAGAGACCGGGAAGAAGCAGCAGGTAAGTAGAGTGTTTCCCTTGCTGCCCCTAACTGGGTTGGCACCACTGCTGGAAAGGTCCCCTGTGGAAAGGGGCAGCTCCTCTCTCTCACCTGCAGCCAGAATTAGTTGGGCTGTCACAGTCCTGTCATGATTTAGCTTGATGGGGCTTCAGCAAAGCATCCCTCACAGGCAGTCTGGTCAGTGCTTTGGAAAGCTCTTTATAATTGCACTGGACAAGTGGAAAAAACAAAGCTGTGTACAGAGGAGTCCTCAGCAAATGACAAGTCTTAAAGAAGGTTGTCTCTGAGTAAACAAGGCTCTCACTGCAGATGTGCTGCTCTGCTGTGCTCTACAAATGGTCTGGTCAGACTAGGAAGGATGAACTGCGGCCCCAAATGCTGTGCCAATAGACAAGGTGTGCAACAGACAAGGTGTACCAATAGACAAGGAAGCTCCAGCTTCTCCCCAGGTGTGATTTCTGAAGCTGTGATGTGCTGCATGAAGCAGCCTCTGCCCTGGCTGAGCTGGGAGCACTGTGAAACCCCTCAGCCTTGTCAGTGCCAGACTGAGCTGTGTTCACAGCCCAAAATCACCTCTGAAACGGGGGCTGCAACTGGCACGGTCACTGGCACCATAAACAGTGCCAAACCCTGTCCCATGTGGAGCTGGGATCATCTATTGCCACCACTTGCTTTGAGCGAGGCTGTGTTTAGCTGCTCCAGCCATGTAGATGCTCTTGTCCCCGAACACTGCCCTGGATGCCCGGCTTGTAACAGCCAGGCACATAACAGGATTTACAAGAGGGTTGAGGTGGTTGTGCTACAAGTAACTCCAGAGGCTGCTCTAAATCAAAATAAGGGGCAGAAGTGTCTGCACTTGGAAGCGTGGAAGGAGCTGTTAGGGGCACTTTGTGCTGCTTTAGTCTATTGGTAAAGCGAAGGCAAGGGTTGGAGTTTTAAATTGTATTTTTCTACCTGGAAAATGAGCAAATAATTCAGTGACTAGAGCAAAGTGCCCTCCAACACAGGCAAGTGAGAGTGCTGGTGAAGGCCCTTCCCTCTGTAAAGGCAGCCTGGTAGAACAGGAACAACGTTTTGTGTCATGGGTGTCTGGTTAGTTAGAGCTGCTGTAAAGGCCTTGCTTTGGCAGATGTGTGAGCAGCTGGAATCCAGCTCATCTGTAACCATACGCCCTTTTGTTTCAGTAAGCAAATGGCCCAGGTGCAGAAATGGTTCAGGTTAGCTGAGTGTCCTCTGGCGTGGTCTAAGAGCCTCATTTGTCTCCCTGTGAAATATCAGTGCTGATCCCATGGACAGGGAGGAAGAGGCACTGGAAAGTGATGGGCAGTGAGCTGGTTTCCTGTGAACTGCAGCTTTTCTGGAAAGCTTTATGAATAGTTTAAAATGTGTTATGGAGCTGAAGGAAGAGAACCAGGGACTGGGAAGGGCCTGCTGCCATGTAGGAACTGGAGGAACTCTGACCCGCAAAGCAAGCCTTTATTGATGTTTATGGGGCAGATGGGAAGGTGAGGGCTCTTTGGTGTGGCATTTTAACTGGAGATTCTTCTTCCCACCTGCCAAGGTTTTGTGAGTTAGTCAGCAACTGGAGAACTGCTTCTCAAAGTTTTGGGGGTGGTAACAATGGTAACTCCTTTGCAAACTGGTTTCTTTTAAGAGCATCTAAAGTTATGCTCCCTAAACACTAATTATTTTGGGGGGGGGGAATAATGTTTTCTTGCTGGTCCTTATCATTGCTACCTGTCCTTTGCCTTGCATTTTCCATCCATTCAAGCACAGAATAAAGGCTTCCCAAGCAGATCTTGCTCCTTCTCTGTGCTTCCATGTTGCTAAGAGAAGGGATTTCTATTTGACACAACTGATTTTCAATCATCCTTTCTCCCCACTGAAGCTAGGCAACTTAACATTGGTGTATTGCCCACCAGCATGGTGTCTAGGCCCCGAGCCAAGGCAATGAACAGCCTGCTAATTAATTTGCCTCCAGACCCCCTCCCCAGAACAAACACTGTGGAAAACAGGAGGTAGCAGTTTCTAGGCAGTCCTCAGGAAGCATTCAGCAAGTGTTTTACTGCCAAGTTTATGTTTTACAGCGATGGCAATAAGGACTTCTGGTTGTATAGAAGAAAATGCATTAGCTTCAGTACAGAGAAGACTACCGAAAGTAATCTGAGCCTGATGTATCAATTTCTTCCCCCAAAATAAGCAGTGTCTACCATGTTGCCTGAGGTCAGTGGGGAAATACAGGCCTAATCTCTAGGCAGGAGCAGGTATTCATGTTGAAAAAACATTGATACCATTCAACCATTATAGGTGGATTCTGTTTCCAGTAAAGCTGTTCAGTTATGCAGCAGATAATACTGTGAGCTCATGGAGTTTGTGCATCTTGCACCCTTTTTTGCATACATACATGTGTATATATTTATCTGTATAAATAAGTTAGGGAATATATACATCAGCGTACAGAACAAATCTAAACCTCAGTTACCAAAATCCATACACTTGCCAGTGGATTTGGTCTGGTAACACTTTGCATTTCACCTTCAAAGCACCATACAGACATTAATTATTTACCCAGGCAGCTTCCCACTCACCAAAAGGATGAAGAATAACAGGCAGGGTAAAGGATGGAGCTGAGGGAGTGCAGCACATTCATAAAAAGGCAGCTTATCGTGTATCTCTCTCCTGCCATGAGCACTGCAGATTTATGCCTTTATAAACCCTGCAGCCCAAGTGTAGGAGTAACCTTTGTAACGCAAAGCTTGTCGACATGGGGAAGTCCTCATTCAAAAGCAAATGATCCGTTCTTCATCTTCAAAAGCTTTGGCCTCTTCTTGGCTTATGAGGTTCCCATTCAGACTGGAGGGGAAAAATAAAAGGGATGTGAGAATAAGGTAGTGACCATTGCCCATCTATTTCCATTTTTATGCCCATTTTATATATATATATATATATATATATATATATATATTTCCAAGGCTTTGGAGCAGAGATTGCAGCTTTGCAAGGCCAGATGAGCTGCCTGCTTCTCCTGGGCACACAGCTGGGAACTGCCCTCGGATACTCAGCTGTTTGCACTTCAGCAAGCAGCAGATAGCTGACTAAGGTTCTTACCATGCAGTGAGCTAGTTTAAAGAAACTGAAAGAGTCTTCAGAGCATCTTGTGTCTTCCATAACAACATCGGAAGAAAACTCTTAAGTACTTGGGCATTAATGATGTGGAAAGATTTAAGGCAAAATCTTCAAGTCTGGTGTCACAAAGTTAATCTACGCTGACATTTACACCCCTGGAATGGAGCAGCCTGGGTAAGAGCTGGGATCTATTAAGCCATTTAGACTGAGGGAATTCTTGGGGTTAATGAACACCTCTGAAAATTCAGGCAAGAATCAAGAGGCAGATTGCAGTCTGAAGGTTCAGAACAATTCAAGTGGAACTTGATGCCTCTTCTGTAGACGAAAGCTGACAGTGGCCTCTGAAAAAAGAATCTCTTCCACATCCTCAGGGACCCCACTAGTCAGATACTGAGTCATCATCTTCCTAAGCAAGAATTCAGTGTCCTTTCCCTAAAACAAATATATATCTTTAAAAATAAATTTCATGTTCAATAATACAGCAGTGGTGCTAAACCCAGCACTCTCTTACTGACTTCTGAGCTGCCCGAGGTGAGGGCAGGAATGTGGGATTTGGCTTTGTGCCTGACAGTGCACATGCGTGACTCTGTGATGCCCACCTAATCTACAAGCAAATGTTACGAAAAGTTAATCTTCTCGTAGCTTAGCACTTTGAGCGTGCTTGGAGCACTGCCCGAAGGAAATCCACGCACAAATTCCATGAAGCACGTTTGTAATGCCAATTAAACAGAACCGTCTCCTGCTTGTTGGGATTTAGCTCCTGAAAAGCATGAACGTGGTCCAGAGTTTAAAAATGAATCAGAACAAGCAGGACTTGGTCTGTGAATTCAGGCCCAGATTCTGCAAACACACACACACATTTGGCGCATCAGTGGTACAGACAGATGTGAACTCACAAAACTGCATGGCATTCGTAACACACAGGGAAGTGTTTCAGTGACAGAGGCTTTTTACCTGTCTGAAACCACAGCGGGAACTACAACCCCTGCCTCACATAAACTTGCTCTGAATTTTTTAGGCTGGAAAGAAGCAATGCCAGAAGTGTTTTAAAGGGAGAGTTTACAAAGTGAGCCTTTGAGGAAGGGATCTTTACCAGACTTCTTTAATAGCTGTGTTCTCCTTGAGAGCTTCACTGAGGCACTTCACCCCTTTGGCTGTAATCCGGTTCTGGATAAGCCTAAAAGGAAAGCACTTCATGTCAAACTAACACACAGACTAGTTTACAGCACGTGCACAACCTACACTCAGCTTGACGTCAGGGAGCACAGCTGCCTGTTTGCCACACCACAACGGGTGTGATTCCTGCCTGTGAGGATTGCACACAGTGTTGGTCGAACACCCCACGTGCACTTCCAGAAACAGAGCTCAGGGTATTAGTCTTTTCCTTTTAATCTTGCTTATGGTTGCATTCCAGAAATACTGAGCTTAATTACATAGCTGACAAATTTCTGCTAAGCACCTTTTACTGCTGGTATAGGACTGTGATATTTGGACTCTCTGAGACACACAAACCTCTTAGCGCTGGTTTCTTATTAAGAGTGCTGTGAGACATAAGTGATGTACAGACAGTTCTGGGTACAGAACCTGTGTACGCACAGTGATTTAGCAGTTATGATCTGCAGGTTGCCAAATCCTCTTGTCTTGGTTATCAGACCAGCAAGACCTCCGAAAAAAATGAGGCACTGAATTTGACTGGTGAGAGTAGGTGCAAGTCCCAGAGAAGCCACCTCAGCAGCTACAACATACGTCTCATCTGAGCTGAGGGACAAAAATGATACAAGACTCAAGTAGCACAGCTGATGGGAGCAGTAGGTAACTCTTACACTGCAGACTGCAGACCATCCCCTAGCTAAAAATTAACAAAGCTCTCTCATCTGCATGAGTATAAAAATACTCAACGCCCTAGCCTGAGTCAATACTCACCTTTCAGACTGCCATGGTGTGTGCCCTGTAGCTATTCCTCTCCACGTGACTGGCTGCATGAATCCCATGGGATTCAGGAAAATTGGAATGAATTGAACAATCTCTTAATGGAGGAGAGAAGGAAGGAAGCAGGGAGGCATTCCCATTAAAGGACTGTCTACATCTGGTAAATCAATCAAAACGCAAAGGGATCCAGTAGATGCTTCCAGTCACCTTTAATTGTGCCTCAAGTCCAACTGTCTCTATGGGTCACTACCTTCTGGAGGTACCCACTGGTATAACCAACAAATCAGGATATAAATTTGCCTACTGGCAGAAACCCCAAGCCCTGGTAAAAACACGTACCTAAGGCCTGCTTTGGATGGGAAAGGTTTTAATATGAATTCAAACCAAATTGCTCAGTGAAATGTACCTGCAGCTCTGCACAAACAAATCAAGTCCTCCCCACCCCTTTCTGTTTTCAGGGTGATGGGCAGCAGAGCTTCTACTGGTTTCAGAAGAGGCTACAAGCACTTGGCACCTCTGACAACCATCAGGCTTCCTAAGAGGTGAGAGTGAGATTTAATACAGGGATTGCTAGAGTGGAGTTAGCAAAGTCTGTATGGCTTGTAAAGGGACTCCCGTTTATGATGTTCTCTTCATCACTTGGAATGAATGGATGGCCATTTGTTTCAAAGCCCACATGTGCCCAACTCCATCCATGGACAAATTCTTGTGAACCTCTGTATTAGAGCAGCTAATGCTGTGTTTTCTTAGAAGTTTAACTAGTCTCTTGGGGATTGCTTGGAAGGATCCCTGAGGACTTCTAATAGACGAGTGTCTTGCATGAGTGAAAGTGCTAGCCCTTGAAGCAACATCAAGCAAATGGGGCATGTATTGAAGTGTCTGTCATAGTTGAAGAGTAAGAGTTGAGCTTGCTACTTACATAGTATGATGATAAATAGTAAGAATCATAATAAGGTGATTCTATTCTAGCTGTCTGCTTGGTTCTTGCTTTGGGTTTTCTTTTTTGAGTTGTTTTGGGTTTTGTTTGGGGTTTTTTATGAAACTTTTGTGTTTGAGGCCAGTGGTGTTCCCCAAAGGAAAGATGAAATCCATCAGTAGTTTGAAAGTTACCAGGACACATAAACAGCTTCAGCCTGTGCCTGTGTGAAAGCAGGTTCAAAACGCCAGACAGCAGCTTTATTAACTTTCCATTATAACTGTCTACAACCAGTCACCTGCATCCAGACCATGCACAGAAAGCTTACTGTGACCTACATAGATTTGGAAGGTGAAGCTTTAATGCAGTGACTGCCAAAGAGCCTGTGCTTCTGTGGAATGTAACTCACCACAAATGCACCAGTTTCTTGTTGACCTTCAGCATCTCTGCAAAACTCATTGCTGCCTCATCATCCAACTCATTTTTAGTCAACCTAAAGGGGAGAGAAAATGTTCACTTAGGATGTTATCATTATTTTTCAGCCCCCTGTCTTACCAGCTTGTCTCTGACTTAGCTTTAGACAGCCAAAGAGGGGGTGTGGTGTTCTTGCCCTGAGCAATTTCTAAAGTCTGGACACAAAGAGATACTGAAGAGAAGCCCTGGAGGTAAAAGAAACAGGAGTATCAGGTCTTTATTTCTTAGAGCAATGTCCTAATGATGTTCTAGTGGCTAAAAGGTGAATGAGGTGTAGTGGAAAAATGCAGAGGGGTAGAGACCACACTGAAGAGGTGCAAAACCTGACTTCATATGATAGAAGTGAGAGAAGATGGGGAAAGCAAGATGGAGGGAGCAGAGTGACGCGTGACACTGGGACATTGGGATGTGGGCTACAGGACGGGCACTGCTGATCCATTACTCATGTCCCCGTTCTTCCAAAGGGATACATCTTACAGCTTGCTGGTAGTGAAAGCATAGCAGATGAGGGGAGGGAGAGGAGGAGGTAGGGAGAGTAGGAGGAGGCAATGGGACTGAAGGAAATAAATTAGGCTGCATCTTTCTATGGAGAAAGAAGAGGAGGAGAAGCAGACCACACTGCCAGTTACCAGAAGATTTTCACGGAGTTGTTGTGTTGCATAGCTTCAGCAATGCTTTTGCCTCCTTCTGTCGTGATGCCATTGAACGCAAGACTGGGAAGTAAAGATACAAGTGTGTAAGAAACGGCATCACTTGGCCCTTCCACTACCAAATACTAGTGCATATCCTGGATGATCTATTTCCCAGCTGTACAGTTCAGCATCTGGGTGTTTCAAAGGCCCACATACTTTGTGAACCAGCAAGTCCTCATGACTTTCACAAGTGAGAACAGTTCACAGCCTGCAGCCTGAGCGCAGGTCTGTCATGCAGGCCGTAAGGCTTGCTGTCAGCAAGTTGTACTCTTGGGACTGAGAGCAGAGCTGCACCCAGTGGTTTTGAGAGTAAAGGCTTTTAACAAGGACAAAGACTTGTGCTTAGCAGTACATGGGTTTTTACGTGGATTTGTCATCCCAAGTCCTGATATGAACTGGGCGTATTGTCCTTTAAGTCCTTCAGACACCTGAATATCTCATTATTCTTCCAAACACAACCCCTTCTGTTGTGCAGGGAGAGATGAGCTTGTAAATGCATGCTTTCCATTACAAACCACAAGTATTTCTTACTCTGCCCTTCATTCTTTGAGTAAACACTGGCAAAATCATCCAGTTAAAATTATGCTCCAGGCTCTGAGAGTTCAAAAAGCATTTCCCCCCTCGAAAGCCAGGGCAGAACCTGAAAATAATGCAACATCTCAAAAAAAGGTGAAAAGGGACATCAAGTAGGGCAATGGCACAAATATATGTTAGCACAAGTCCCTCCTAGCTTCAGCTGAAATTAGATATTCTCAGTCCATCACGACTGAGCCTAAAAATGACAAATATGCTGAAGTAAACTGATGTAGTAGGGACTATCTTCCCTTAATCCTCTCATAATGCTACCACTGGTGCTAACTGTGAATTCAAGTCATGAAGCAAGGTCAGCCACTGGAAGATAAGAAATGAACCCAAGAGCAAGTACACTGCAGAGCAGAGGATTCACCCTGCACAGGTGCCAGCAAAACCTAGGTCTAACAGCACAGTTACCCCTCCTTATTCTTGCAAACACATTTGTCAGCAGATTTGTTTCCATCTGAGAATCACTCAGCTCTGGTGCAGGTTCAAAACGTTTCAAGTCTGATGTGTCTGGATGGATTGTGCCATTATGGGAAGATGGCTATTTCAGAGAGCTTTTACATTTAAATAGATCTAGGGCACTGCACCTGTTCAGCTTTTAATTTTTTAAGCCCGACTCTCCACTCACAGAAAGGAAGACAAGGCACCAGCTCCAGAATCCCTGTATCTGAAGAGGCAGCAATAAAATCTCCAGAGATCCCGAACTCCCCAAGAAACTAGTGCCATGTGCCACCTTGTGGGGAAACCAAAGAGGCTTGTCTGCTCCGTCACAGTGGAGGCCAGTGGAACTGGGACACAAACTGAAACGACCACCATGAACCAGCTGTGTGGATGGACTCTGAAACAGCAGCAGATGCTACAATATGCATCTTTAAATCCCTAGCCAGCACTTGAAAGTCTGGCAGGGGATGGGCTGTTTCACACTGCCGTGCTACCAGCTTCACCCATGGCTTCCAGAAGGTTGGTTTGAGATGAATCACTGAACTCCAGTAAGAACTACATCTCATCAGCACTGAATGTGGGGGGTCTTAGCATGACTGCAGTAATAATGAGCCTGATGATACTGAATTTAAGAATGCCCCAGTCCCTTAGCCAATACCTCCTAAAAATTACTTTGGTGAAAGTACTGTTACACCTTCACAACAGAAGCTGTTAGCATTGAGCTCACTGGGATCCTGATTCTGTGACAGCTGGTGTATCCTTCTGCTAATGCTCCCAGATCAAAATGGCACCCACTGACCATGTGCTTTCCCAAATGCCAGCAACTCTGTGCAGCACAAGGGGAGGAGGTGCAAACAGAAGAAAGGATGCCAGCCCTGCAATATTCTTAACTTAATGGCTTCACAGGGCTTTTTGATTCAATCTGGCCTCTTACTTCCACCAGGAGCCTGTTGGTTACACAAAGAAGGCTGCAATACCAGATGGCGTTCCAAGCTAACACTTGGTGGGAAGAATCATTGGTTCAAAGCACGATGGGACAACCGGCACTACAACGAGCTGCCCGGCTCTGCTGGTGCTTTACCTTATGTTTGTTAACCTAGGGTGGTTCCTCAGGGCCTCTGCAAATGCTTTTGCTCCTTCGTCTCCAACTTGATTACCCCACATCCTGGTGAAGAGAGGAAACCATGAGATACGAGGTGTGCTGCCCTAGTGCCCCATGGCATTGCATTCTCCCCTTTTCACTCCCCTACCCCCTGATTACTTCACAGTCTTTCAGGCTTGTGAGAAACCTGGAAGGTACCTCCTGGCTGAGCCAAACATGTTCCACTCCCTGCACAACACACCAGCAGCCTCTGCTGACTCATCAGTACCCTAAGGCTACAGCACAGAAGCAGCTCTAGGAGACAGCCTCCTGCAGGAGAAGTGCTTTTGGGATCACCTTGCTGCATTGGGCAAAGCCTCTGCAGCCCTGCATCGTTATGGGGTAAAGGAGTCTTGTGGTCCTCTACAGTGAGCTGCCGTGAGAAACAGACCAAGTTCTAAATCCTACTATTGTCCTGCTCAGTGTTTCTTCCCCCTCTCAAGCTTCCCTCCTCCTTTAGAATAGTCTGGCAAAATGGTCACAGTTCCTTCAGTGTTATACCCAAATGGTATCTCCTCTCTCAGCAGTGGCCAATAGAAAAGGGGTAATCAAAATCTCACGGGGACAGTATGACCCTGGGCTCTTCCATGCATCTGTAAGGAACAGTATTTCCAATGGCAAAACAATCCTTGGTAACACAAAGAGTTAAGGGAAGGTAATGTGGTAAAAGCTGCAGGGATCTGGTCAACATCTAATAGCAGTATCTGGTAAAACCTTTTCTGTGCAGACCAGCCACTTTGAAAATTCACCCTATATTATGAGGTTTGAAAGGGCCTCTGCTGAGGTAATAAGGGGTTTTTTTCCAGGGATCATGGCTTGATGACTCAGAGCCACACTCAGCTTGATGGGTAATTAGTTGGCAGCTCTTATCAAATCAATTTAGCTGTGTGGTATCTAAACAAATCCACTTCCAGTAAGTTCCCCAGAATTTCCTTGTCCTTGACAGTTTGTTACGTAAATGCTGAATATATCTGTTTAAACATTACTGTCCAAGCCATCCTAAATCTATTTGGAGAGATCATTTCCTCCACAGGAGAAAACAGGAGTCCTTCACTGAAATTACAGCACATACAGCACAGCAGACCCAGCTACATGATAATGGCAGTGTGCCTGCTGGTGACTGTATTTGTGAAATGCTGTAGAACAACAAAACTAAAAGCCAAAAATCTGACTGTTCAAATCTGATTTTCCTATTTCAGGTGTTTCTGTGACATTCACAATGGCCAAAAAGGTTTTAATTCCATGTATTCAAGTGTTTGATTCCGAAAGAAATGTTCTCCTGTTGGGTGGAAGGAGAAACTGAGTTGCCAGGGGCAGGGGGGATAGATTAAAATATAAATTAAATCCTAAAGTCTAGCACCACTCCTGAGGGAAGTGGTCAGGGACTAAAGGTTTATTTGAGTACATTCAGACCTCTCTCCAATAATAGCAGAGTCTCCAGTTAGGGACTAGGGAGAAAGATGATGGGAATTCTATTTTATTCTCTCACAGCTTTATCAGGACTTGGTGCAGAAGGTTTGACAACTGTAACACTGACACTCCATAACAAGGTACGTTATCAATAGTCACAATACCACCCAGACTTCAAAATGACCAAGTATCTCTAGAAAAGCTGTGTTGCCATAAGGAAAGCGGCTATCTTTACATACTCTCCTCTTGCTAGTTTGTCCCTCCTTTAAGTTTCTGTCAGAGCAGGGACAAAACAAAACCCAAACCAAACATTATGTGAACTGGAGAACAATGAAGCAGCTCTCCTTCTCCCTCTGAGTGAAAACATGCCTATACTTCTGCACTGGTTTGTTCTAATGCCACCACTTGGGGGGAAGGAATAGGGAATAGCAGGAGAGAAGGCAAGACTAAAAGAAGGAATCCTGCAGATGCATTGCTAAGATCAAGCCCTGAGCTCTGCTCCTTAGCACTGAACTTACCCAATTTCAAACATTGTCTTGCTCTTCTGGATGGCCTGGGCAAGGCACTTCCCTCCTTCACTGGTTATCTTGTTTGCTCCTATTCTGCACAAAAGACATGAATTGATGAGGTACATCACTTACAACTGTACAGTTATTAGAACACCACCTCAGAAAGCAATACAAGTATTTAATGCTGATTAATTCTGGAGGCTAGCTGCAGTTATCAAAGGTCAACCTAGAGCAAAAAAATACTGCAGTCATTTAACCTTTGATTAACATACATAATTTTATGCTGTCTTTTACATTGCATGTCAGCCCTCCAAACTAGAAGTATTACAGTAGACTCTTGCGTTTGGTGCTCAGTATGTCAGAAATGAGCTTTAGGAACCAATCCTCAAGACAAGGACCCCTGCCTAGTTTTTAATACAGTTCATAATATCAGCAGTTGCTACAGAGTACATGAATTACATGCAGCGTGTTTCATGATGCTATAGGGAACAGGGTACCTGTATCTCTGGGGTAACTATGCACCCTGAAAATAACCATCTTCCAAAAGGCTTTCTTGTGAAAGGTAGATGAAATAAGCAAAGCACTGTGTCAAAGCAGGGAAAGAACCAAAGTGCTGTTTGGTTTCAAAACTCTGCAAATATTTCAAATGGAAAAGGTGTGGCTACTGGGGGGTTTCAGAACTGGACCACAACCCAAGAGTCCCTGGCTCCTGGTTTCTACATTCATACCAACTACAGCTGACATTGCTGTAGTTACCTCTGCTTTCTGCTATGGTCACAATTACACCACTGGTTAATGATCATATTGACCTTTATGTCAAACTAGTGCTGTGCATGGCCAGATACTCTTACCTGGGGAAGTTCCAGGAATTAAATGGAACAACTCACCAAGTGAATTCGGGGAATTCCAGAGTTGAAGTATGATACCAGCACAGCCTGACTCCAATGGCTCATAAAAGGCAAGATATAAAGCAGCTTGGTACTAAATCCAAGTGAATTCGCCTACTGCAAAGGGCAGTAAGATTCATGCACCACTGGCCTCACTCAGGTGCTCAGACTGAATTTAGGTAAAGAACAGGTCTCATACTCTCTTTCTGCTTGTTACTATATTCTAGTACAGACTTTCAATTATAGAATTATAGAATCATAGAATAGTTTGGGTTGGGACTTTCAAAGGTCATCTGGTCCAACTCCCTTGCAGTGAGCAGCGTTTCACTTGCTACCACTCACTGCCAGATGACTGTGAAAGCAGATACAACTTCAATCCAAGTTATGTTATTTGAATCACAATTTTTGCCCTTTTTCCACTCTCCCTCCTGTTTCAAGTTGCATTAATTAAGATACTGTAGAAAAAGAAAGGAAAAAGAAAATCCAACATACTTCACATATTCAAGGCTTGAACACTCCTCGATTAGTTTTGCAACGTATTTGGCTCCAACATCAGTGATCTGATTGTTGTATAAGCTTAAGGAAAAGATCACATTGGTAAAAATAGATTATTCCTACTGTTACTTTAATATTTACAACCTGAATGCTCTATAAGAACCCATACCATCTATCTCTTTTGTATGCCTTTGTACACATTCACAGTGACTTGTATTTCTATTTTTATATACAATTAATATTGTGAAGGGCTAGATATAAAATACAAAGAGACCAGACTCCAAATGATGGGAAAATAGATATTATATAAATTTTTTAATAAATGGCCTTTCCAAGCAAACAAAGCTTCCCTCTATTTCTGTGTTAGTACAGAAATAATATTGCCAGAAGAGAAAACAGCAGAAGAATGTATTTTTGGTCTTTTAAAAGTCACAAAATCCCCTCACAAATATTACTGAAGATCAGATACCTCAGCAGATGTACTTACATTAGGGCACTGGAGGAAAAAGGCAGTTCTTCCTATTCATATTTACTTTTCAAAAAGTCATTTTTATGTAGCTCCTTAACCAAGAAGCAGGGAGTCAGAGTTAACATGCCTTCCAGCTTCAACTTGATTAAGAACAAATTAAGGTTAAAGAAATTGGTGCCATGAACATTATGCCTTTAAACTGTATGTTTCTGATACTAGTCTCTACCAAGCTGTATCATCTGCTTTGCACAGGTGAAATAATCAGTTTACAGCAGTGCAAACAGAAGGCTCTAGCTATGAAGCTCACACTCTTGCTCGTGCTCTGTCTCTCCCCCCTCCACAGCTAGCATAAGGCTTCAGGCATAAAACTAGCATGCCCACACAGTTCAGTAACCTGACAGTGGTCTGCAGCGTGTTACAGAAAGGCTTGCTGTCAGTGGAAGGCCACCCTGTGGTGCAGTGCAATGGGAGAGGAAGCTGCGGGCCTTTTCCCAGTGAACTGTTAAGGAAGGCAGCTGAGTCATTTCTGACACAAAATGCTGCTTTGCGTGTGTTCAGCAAATGAGGAGGTAACTGTGGCTTCCACCCCACCTTTGCAGTGTCAGTACTGTCAGCATGCCACTTCTATTTTCTAGTATCAGTATCTAGTGTTTTGGGGTACATACCCCAAGAAAGACACAATTTGGTACTTGGAGAGTTCTTCATACAAGATCCTTACTCCATGATCTGTGACCTGATTTACACTGAGCCTGGAATGAAAGGAACAAAAAAGAAAGTTTGAATTGATATAGATTACAAGTGTTCATCACCCATGAGTTAATGAATACGTCTACACATAGAGGTCTTCGATACTTTAACAGGCCCTTATGCCACATATTAAAAGCCATTAAGGGAAAAGTGAGCTCAGTTTCATACAGCTCACTTCAAAACCAATAGAAAACAAAAAGCCCCAAATCTCCAAGGTAATGCTCTGGAAGCTGTCCAGAGCTGAAAACAATAAAACGGAGTAAGTCAGAAACCAGAAACAAACACCTCATCCTCCTCCCACACTTAACTGTGATTGCAAGGAAGAAATTCTGCTTGATACCCTACCAAAACCAAGCTTTCCTAACTACTCTTCCTGCAACCTTCTCTCTGAGTACCTAGTGAAAGCCAGGCA